ATATGAGTGTCGATCACTCAAATTTCGTAGTAAAAAAATTATTCACCTGATCTGCGTGACATCTGGATCGACTGATAAAGTTGATTAGCTTAATAAAATTTTTCGTAAAATACGATTTTTATACTGACGGCGATTTTAAAAAAATGATCTGCAAAGACAATACAAAAATCATTTCATCAAAAAATGATCTAATTTTACGAATATCCATTCGTTTTACTTGAAATTTAATATATGAATTCTTGAAAGTCATCTGCATCAACTTTATTATTATCGTACATAATGTTTTCTTTTAATGTAATGGTTATATTAACAAAAACGTTTCTGTAAATATCAAAATAAAAAATTCGGCAGTAGTTTTTAAACGAAAAAATAGCATAACTAGATGAATATTTGTTCAAAATCCATGAAACTTCACACAGTATAATTTCAAGATATGCACTACAAATTTTATTAATGAGCAGTAATAGGTTTAGAATCAAAATAATTAATCCACCCTGGGTACCATGCTTTTTTCATCAAAAACAAATATTTGTTTATGAAAGCAAAACGTAAATCGTTAATATCTCAACGAATATTTGCCCAAATATTCTGAAAATTCACATACTAATAAATGAATACTCCCTCTACAAAAGTCAATTAATCGTTAAACATGCTAGATAATGAAAAAACATCTCCACGATCATTCAAAGTCCGATTATCCAAAGACGAAAATTCGACTAATTATCAAAAAAATGCCAACTTAAAAAGTTGCCAAAAAAAAATGCAATATTTAACGTAGACAACTTAAAAAGTTGCCAGCATCACATGACCAAAAATTATCCAATCAGATTGCTTCTAAAAGCTGACGTAGATAGTTAGCTGTAATTTGATTGGTTAAAAAAAAACTGCCAACATGTAAAAACTGCTAGCATACTTTTAAAAGTGACACAACTGCGAAAATTATTAACTACTAAAATTACTATTAAAATTGTAACCAATAAAAATAAGAGTAAGCGTTGTTCAGAAGCGTAATCGGTTGTTAGCCTCATACTGTCGAACAACACATAGCAGGTAATATTAACTTGGCCGCTAGCCAAGTTTTAAACAAAATGTTCCTATTTAGTTCTGTTACACATTATAATTTACTTGTTTATTATTCATAAAATGTGTCTAAAATATTCATGTTTATTTAATGTATTGATATGCTTATTTTAAAAAATCTATCAGATATTAATTAACTTCATACTGAACTATGCTATATCTATAATATTCAGGAGATTACAATAATACGATTCATCTACAAAACAAAAAATCTCGTGATTTACAATACATTCAGTAATTTTGAAAATTTTCTAAATTTTAGCAATATTATTGTAATATAATTAGAACAAAAGAAACTATGCATATGCAAGAATACTATCTGGCTCATCTTTTACTTTTGGATAGTTCATTTTTAGATGTATTTTCGATCTTTTCAATATTAGAATAGCATGCCATATAGTAAATACATTTTTTCATTTGGTTGATTATGTATTGTGCAATTCTTGAATGCAGATAGTGTGCTTCTATTGTTAAAAAAATTGTTATATAGTTTGTAGTTGAAGAAAAATTTATAAGATCTTCATACTGTTTCTCATTTGCTCTATATTTAATACAATCCAAAAGAATTTTAGCAAAATCACAAAGAGATATATTGCTGCTTTCAAGAGCCCGCTTAATATATGTATTTTTATTTTCTACAAATAAAATTGTTTCAATCTTTAATATAAACAATATTGACATAAATTCTAGTACCCACAACTTGTATCATCTATATAAGTATTTTTCTAGATATTGCTTTGATAATAGATAATTTTTTATCAATTGATTCTAATAATAATTAAAAATTTCAGATGTGTTGCTATTATGACACTTCTAGAAATCAGAATAAAATACATCAAATTGCATATTTAATTTGCCACGAAGCATTTTTTTAAGATTTTTCTTGAGATACCATATACAAAAAGATGACAACTAGTTAGATATTTGATCATAATAGCATATTTTATGGTGGAGTCGGTATCAGTAATTATTATACCAGATATTTGTCCCCTTGTTACTTTCGTTGTTATACACAATATCTATTAATATAATTTAGTAGTTTCGTCACTCAAAAGAGCTTGTGCAACAATTTGAGATCTCATATCATTATCACATACTATGAAAAGTGATAATGGCATATGGTAATGGTTTGTTTCTGCTATATTGTTATACCCAACTGATTGACCAAATTCACACCATGATATAATCTGATTTGGGCATATTCAAAATAGCCTGTTAGTATATTTGTTTTTACTTTCTACGTAACTTCTACAAACTACCTGGGATCTTGCTATTGCTTGGCCAATAATTCCTCATAGAGTTTTGATGCGTCACTTTCATTAGCTTGTGCTAATGGTTTATATTTTCTGATTTCTTTATATAAATCATTGAAAAAAATAGAATGAGAGAGATATTTTTGTTTAAGAACCTTCCTGATCAATATCGTGCTAAAATAATACCAACTTATGTAAAATTTAACATCTTCCTGCATTTCCTTTGTAAAAGCCTTATTTTTTTCAAATTGAAGTACTTCAGAGCATATGTCATTAGGGGTTGCAACCCAGATATATGTTTGTACCCAACAAAAGGTCTGGGCTTGGGCATAGGCATGAAACCTCAAACATGAGCATAGGTATAGGCATGAAAGCTCAGGCATGGGTATGAATATAGATATAAAAAATTGGTATAGATATAGGCATAATACAAAAAACTTGGTATGAGCATAGACACAAGTACAAAAATTTAGTATTTATTATTTAATTATATCTGGCACTTTGCTCGGTACCTAGTATCTTGTATCTAATATTTTGTATCTATGTCTTTGCTAGTACCTAGCACTTTGTGTTTATATTTTTAATCAGTATTGTCACAGGATAGTTGTAAACAGTGAGTTTGGATACTTTAGACAATTTTGAACAATTAAATAAATTGAAATTACTCAAAATTTTATTAGAATAACCTATATTTCTTTCTAAGTAAAATATGTTTAGCATCTAAAAAAAATATAAAGTTATATATATTTTAAACAAATTTATTAATTATTAAAGCTTAAATATGCTCTAAACACTTTTGGACACTTGGATATTTAGATGTTGAACAGTGCCAAAAAAGTTTTTGAACAGTCAAAACATATATCACTGCCTTTAATAGTGTCTGGCACTTTGTGTCCATTTCTACAATAGTACCTGGTATTTTATACCTATAGACATAAGCATAGTATAAGGCACCTAATACCTGGCATAATACTATATGTCTGGTATAAATATTTGCAAACTCTTACATATTATAGTTATGGTTATCTTTCAACATTATCACATAAATATAGTTGTTTGGGTTTGCTTGGATAGTCACGAAAGGTTAACATGCTATTGGCATTTTATTTTAACTGATTTTTCAGTTTTTGTAAGATTTGTTGACTAGTACTGGCCAGAGTAATGACAAAGAATAGTTCATTTTCTTATTATTTTCTCATCTTTCATTTTAATCATAGTACTGCAACTTATCTTTATTTTGAAACCCTTGACCTTAGCATACTATTATATGTGTTGTTCAGCATCATCAAAACTTAAAAATGAATAATCTTTTCTTAGTATTCTTGTTTCAATATTCATAACTAGTTTTTCTATATCTATATCATTATGATACACCTCTTTGAAATATTTTTCTATATTTATTTTGTTGCTATCTGTGGTATCGTTTGAGTTCATTTTGTCATTGTCAAGTTTTAGAAAAGAGATATAAAAAAAAATTAGAAATTTCTATTTATATAATTTAATAATTTAGCTGTGTTTAAATTTTATTATGATCGATTAATGTGGTATCGATACATCCAAATGTACTATATATCAAATAATAAAATTCATATATTATTATATCTAAATTCTATTATAAATAGATCTAACAAATTAACTACTAGTTCTAAAATTATTTTAAAAAATCAGGTTTTTATATATATTTTTAACTTTTTTTATCTCTCTTTCTAAAAAATCATCTAATTTTTGTTATATTTCTTATCTCTAATAATTCACAACAGATTCTGTATACTATATTTACTA